GATGAATCCGTCCTCCAAACCTCGCCGTTCCAGCACGAGTAGTAGCAGCACAGCGGAGATATCAGCACTCAAAGAGCAAAACCAAAGGTTGCAGGAACAAATTGATAGTCTAACCTCGAACTTGTCACTGACGATTCAAGAGGAGCTAAGGAAGCTATATGGTGGTAACCTTCCTCGACGAGGTGATGATGATGGAACAGGAGGGGCAGGGCAGCCCGGGATTTGTTGAGACATTTACGACCTTAGCTTCCTCCATTTTAAACACTTGACACTAACATTTTAATATTTGTTGTTAGAACATATTGAATTATGCTACATTCGCATTTGAAGTTTGCATTAATCTAGATTTGAATTAGCAATTTGGGTGTTTGAAATCTTGTTTGGAATTATATGTGTGAAGATTGAATGTGTTTTGCCCCCCACACACCCCATTGTAATAGGTAGTGCTGAAAACAGCAAAATTCTGGTTCTGGCAACAGGTCATATGCGACTGACCGTCGCTACATTTGTCGCTGATCTGCGACGGAGGATTCCGTTGCTAATGCCGTCGCAGATCTGCGACGGTTTTCTATATCCGTCGCAGATTTTGCTGGATGGAAAAAATGCAAACCCCGTTGCAGTTCCGTCGCAGATCTGCCACGGATTTTAAAGTCCGTCGCAGATTTTGAATCTGCCACAACTTTTCTGCGACGGAACGATTTCGTGGCAGATCCGTCGCAAAATAGAAATCTGCCACGGAAAATTAGATTCTGCCACGAAATTTTTCCGTTGCAAAAGAGGAATTTTCTTGTAGTGACTGGCTTATGGGGTAGAGAGGGCCGACATTATTGGACCGATGAATCACGGTTCCCCTCAGCATATCCTTCACAGAAAAACCAGTGGAGTCAAATTCAATGGAGCAATTATTGTCACGGGTGAACTGGCGAACAGAAATAAGGTTGTGGATAATGTGGGGGGAGAAAAGAATATTTTGTAAGTTAAGGGGAGGGGATGTGGGAAATTTATAGTTACCTATAGCCGTAGTGCGGACTTTGGAACCATTACCGACAGTGATATATGATGAAGAATTTAATGAATGATTACGAACATGAGAAAGAGTACCTGGGTCCGAGGCGATGTGGAGAGTGGCGCCGGTGTTCATATACCAATTTGGATCATGGAGGCTGAGGGTGTCGAAATTGTGGGCTAGGGCAGTGGGGGTGGGGACACCGGTGAGATGGCTTATGGGTGAGGGTGGGGGTGTTGGGTAGGAGGGAGAGGGGGTTGTCGGGTAGGGGCTGGGGTAGGGGGGTAAGGCCGTGGGGTGGGTGAGGGGTAGAAAAATAGGCTTGTGGGTGTTGGGGGTGCGGGTAGGGGTTTGGCCGCGGGCCTAGAAGGCCCGAGTTAGGGTTTGGGTAGGTGAACTGTCCGGAGGGCTGCCCAAGGGTGTTCCGTGCATTTGATCCGGAGCTACGACCGCGACCATGACCCCGAGATGAACCGCCACGGTGCCGGGAATATTGCTGCTGCTGCCCGAAACCTCCCCCGCCGCTGGATTCCAACCTCCCGCCACCAGCGCTGCCCTGTCGCCGTGAGCCTCCAATGCCGGCGTATAACGCCGTGCCGCCATCCCCCGCGTTGCTACCGACGCCCAGTTCAGCCCGTTGTTGTTCAATTCAGAGGAGGGCCGACCAGGTTTGGAGGAAGGTCGGGGGCGGCGTTTGGTATTGAAGGAACGACGTTTGTCCTCGAAGATCATCTGGGAGGGCACACAAGACTTGGAGAACAAGTTGTTGTTTAGAAACGGTGGCATCTACATCATCCAAACAAAAAGCAGCAATAGAGAGAGAACCCTTCGTGGTGGTACGGAATTGGTGTTCAAGTTGCATCGCCCGGGCCGGCTTGTTGTCATGGAAGATGTTATAGATGGCTTTCCAAAGCTCGGAAGCGGAGTTGGTTGTAGACAGAACAAGATCGCAAATTTCATCATTGACCGTGGAGAGGATCCAACCTTGTATGAGGGCGTCAAGTTGGAACCATTCCGAGTCGTCGGCGCCGGAAGGAGACACCTTGCCGGTGAGGAAATCGCCCAAAGAGAACCTTCGAATAAGAAGAAGGAAGAGCAGGCTTCACTTTTTGTAGTTGGGCTCGGAGAAGCTTAAGAGAATCGGCACATGGAGCTTCACGTTCGAGATCGTCGTGAACGCCAAGTGCGGAGTTGGAGAAGATGACGTTGAGTCGGTGACATAAGGCTTCTCGGACATGGTGACCGAAGGGTGGTTGCTCGCCGTGGGGAGGGAGATCGCCGGAGAGAGACAGTGGTTGGGTACTGCCGATGGAGGAGGGAGAGACGGCTACGGCGGCTGGTCGGCCGAGGGAGAGAGACGGCGACGGCGCGGCTAGGGTTTAGCCTGCGCTAGGTCGGATGAGAGATGGAGAGCAACGAGAGGCTCCGATACCATGAAGAATTGTTATTTTCTATTGAGAAATAATGGAGGGCGAAGCCTCGTATAAATAGTTACAGAAGATTCCTAATTACGGAAGGGAACCTATACATGTAAACTACCATAAATACAATGATCACATAATTAATATTAAATATATACATAACATATTTAATACAAATCCATGGAGTAATCGGCGAATCCCTCTTCGCGGTACTGTTCATCGCACGGATAGAGAAAGAAAAACGTCCGGCTCGTGATAGATGTTCTCTATCATACAAGAAGAGATGGTTGTGATTTTTAAATTAGGGACACATATTAGGCGGGAATGAAAAATCGGGAGGGATTCTAAAATTTGAGATGAATTTGACAAATTTTAGAATCAGGAATCTGATTTTTGAAACAAAAACGTTTTTTGGTCCATAAATTTTCTCACTCTTATGTACCACTTTCAATTAGGGGTACGCAAAATACCAGTTCGATATTGTTTCAAACTGAAACGATAATGTACCGAACCGAAAAGTGAGTTTTCAAATGGTTCTAACAAATTATAACCCCAATCAAACCGAACTGTTTTCATGATAGTACATGATGGTTTCCAAAAAATAAATAGTCAAAATACCAAACTTTTACCACTATAATAATAAATAATAAATTAGTTGTACATTTTTTGTTAATTGATTTTTTTACTCACATGGAGTCAATTCCACATGATACCGATATTTAAAGATTAGATTCGACAAATAGGACACAACGTAGAGAAGTAATAGATCTTTATGAAGATTTGATCTCGTCTTATTGGACATGAATTTGATTTGATCCAATTAGATCTGTTTTATCCGATTTGATCTGATTAGGTCCGATTTGATGCATTTAAAGATTATATCAGGCAATTAGGACACAACCTATACAAGTAAACAGGTTTCCTGTGAAAGTTTGATATGATCTTATTAGATCTGTTTTGGTTTAATTTGATCGAATTAGGTCCGATCTGATGCATTTAACGATTTGATCAGGTAAATAGGACACAATGTATACAAGTAAATATATCTTTTTAAAGATTTGATCTGATCTTATTGGATTTGAATTTGATTTGATCCGTTTAGATTGATTTTGGTATGATTTGATCTGATTAGATCCGATCTGATGCATTTAAAGATTATATCAAGAAATTAGGACACAACCTATACAAGTAAACAGGTTTCGGTGAAAGTTTGATATGATCTTATTAGTTTCAAAATTCATTTGATCCCATTAGAATTGTTTTGGCCTAATTTGATCGAATTAGGTCCGATCCGATGCATTTAAAGATTAGATTCGGCAAATAGGACACAACGTAGAGAAGTAAATAGATCTTTTTGAAGATTTGATCGGGTCTTATTGGACATGAATTTGATTTGATCCAATTAGATCTGTTTTTTTTTCGATTTTGTTAAACGCCTCGCACACCTCTTGAGGGGGGTGAATAGAGGTGTTGCCCAAAAGACCAATTTTTTGCGCGGAAACGTTCTTCACGAATATTCAATAAAAATAATGCACCACAAACAAAATAAAGTGAAGGATAAGAGCAATGCACACACGATATATACTCGTTCGGCCTAAATGCCTACATCAAGTCCCCGAAGCAATCGTGCCCAGGCCTTCACTAACCCGTCAAACTTAACGGAGTTTGACAATTGGAATACAACTCGAGAACTTGATTTCACAAGCCTCTTATCTTACCACCGAAGTTTTGATTTCACAAAACTCAGGATTTCTTCCACCTAACGTTTGATTTCACAAACCGTTAGGATTTCTACCACTTGGTGTAATCCCAACACCAAGAATACAAATCCCTTACAATAAAGTAAGAAAACAAACCGCAACCGAGTAATTCTCCCAACACGGAGTAGATTGTTGCAAATACAATGAAGTCCTTTAGAATATGGCAATATCTCTCAAAGACTCAAGCAATGAGGAAAAACTCAAGCAAGAAATGATTTAGCAATCAAAACAATTGCCTTGCTTGGATATAAGNCAACTCGAGAACTTGATTTCACAAGCCTCTTATCTTACCACCGAAGTTTTGATTTCACAAAACTCAGGATTTCTTCCACCTAACGTTTGATTTCACAAACCGTTAGGATTTCTACCACTTGGTGTAATCCCAACACCAAGAATACAAATCCCTTACAATAAAGTAAGAAAACAAACCGCAACCGAGTAATTCTCCCAACACGGAGTAGATTGTTGCAAATACAATGAAGTCCTTTAGAATATGGCAATATCTCTCAAAGACTCAAGCAATGAGGAAAAACTCAAGCAAGAAATGATTTAGCAATCAAAACAATTGCCTTGCTTGGATATAAGGAGGGGTTTGAGTAGAATCTCTTTGGATATTCAAAGGATATGTTTTGAAGTGTTTTCAATGTATATTCTTGGCCAAAAACACGAGATATGGTAGTTTATAGAAGTTAGGGAGTGGATAGGGATGAAAAGCATTCAAAAAACTAGCCGTTTATTAGTTGAAACTGTCGAAGTATTTGACTAAGTCAAGACTTAGTCGACTAGTTTTGCTGAAACTGCAATCTGACTTATTCAACTAGTTCTGGATTTATTCAACTAAGTCAGAATAGAATTTCAGGGATTTAGTCGAATACTTTTCAATTTTTTCAAATAGTTTGCTGAAAAAATGTGTTTTAATGGTAGGATGATAAGGGAATGAACCTTAGAGATGCCATACTCTTTAACACAAAATCTAAGACCTAAAACACTACCCAACTAAGGAAACAACCTCTTCGGTCTCGTTCCTTCCACCGATGCTCAAGTCCCTTCTTCACGGACGGATATGAACTTGTTGTAGCTTTGATTCTTAGCCTTGATGCACAAAATGATGATGATGTTTTGTCACCCTTTTGCCATTATCAAAACCTAAAAGACAATGGGCAAAGGACATTGCAAAAATATATATTCATGATAGCACATTGTCCAACAATTTCCCCCTTTTTGATAATGACAACCCTATTAGGAGATATGCATCATACAAGGCTAGTTCCCCCTCAAGTATTGCATTATAAATCAAACAAAGATATACAAATCTATACTATCTTCCCCATTAAGATATGCACAAGTACAATTCCCCTTGAATGTATGCATATCTACACCATCTTCCCCCTTTTGACATTATCAAAAAGAGATGGGAAAAAAGATATATGCTCATGCAAATAGATATCAAACAAACAAATAATATCACATTGTCCAACTAAAATATAAATCAACATTAGTTGGAATTATTAAAGTGAATCAACTTCCCCCTTAATTGATGCTTCACCCAATTATGTGCTTGGCGCATCTATTTCAACTCAAGTCAAAGTGTTCAAGCACACCTTCCTCAATGAATCTACGAAGCAAATCTTCGTACCCAATGCCTTTTGGGTCCAGGGGTTTTATGGCAATAATAAAAATCATATGAACGATGCATCACATTATCTTGACTTAGAAGCAAGTGCCATTACTTAGTGTAACAAACTGGTGTGATGTGTCCTACTTTATTACAATAATGACACCTAACACTAGGGTTGTTTATGTTATAGGACGTGTGATGTGCTTTCTAGGTTGTCTATCAAACTTAGAATTTCTAGAATGACTTAGTTTATTTCTAGGTGATCTATAGTATTTAATCCTAGAGGTAGATTTTAGTCTAAATTCATTTTCAACTTTCTTCATCGCTAATTTCAAATCATCTACCTCTTTCTTAAGCACTTCTATCTCAAGACTAGAAGACTTACATGAAGAACAAGGTGAATCATTTATTTTCAAATTAGTCTCCTCAAAAGTCTTATTTTCAATTTTGAGGGAATCAATTTCTTTTTGCAAAATATTATTTTTCTTTTGCAAAAGGGTGATTTTATATTCCAAATCTTTGGCAATAGATGAGACTTTTTTAAATTATTTAAATAAATCACCAAATGCTTCTTGTAGTTCTTCAAAACTAAAAGGATCGTTAGAAGAACTTACCTCTTCGGATTCACTTTGAGCCATAAGACAAATGGCTACTTCATCATCGGATGAGGAAGAGGAGCTAGAGTTGGATTGCTTTCGGCATTTGGACTTCTTGAATTTTCGATTAGGGCAATGACCCTTGATATGTCCACGCTCTTCATATCCATAGCAAGTAGGCTTTGTACTCTCATTCAATTGCTCAAGCTCATTTTGCAAGAAGTCATTAAATAACTCGAGAATGTCACTTTCTCCAGAGCCGCTTGTCTCGACATATTTTGACGATGAAGCTTTGAGTGCAACTCCTTTGAATGATAGATTTTGATCCCTTTTGATCTCCGCTGCAGTAGAAAAGTTAGACATTTCATAAGTGAGTAGTTTACCTCGAAGTGCGTCATATGTCAATGTATTGTAATCTTGGCCTTCTTTGATAGGGTTGACCGTAGACTTCCACTCCGGTGTGAGACTTCGAAGGATTTTTTGAACGAGAACATGATCCTCATAATGCTTCCCAAGTGTATCCAAATTTGAGACGATAGTTGAAAATCTCTCAAACATGCCATCTATTGTTTCATTTTCCATCATCATGAAAAGCTCATACTCATGGGTGAGTAAGTCGATCTTTGAGTCCTTCACTTGACTTGTTCCTTCATATGTGACCTCTAATTTGTTCCACATCTCATTGGCCGTCTTGCACCTTGAAATTTTCCGATAGTCATCCGGGTTCACGGCACAATATAGGAAGTTGATGGCCCTTGCATTTAGTTGCATCTTCTTTTTGTCATTTGAGGTATATTCGGTCTCTAACTTTGGAACAAGAACCACGTCAACAATCTTCGTGGGAACCGTCTCTCCATGCTTGATCACCAACCAAGAATCATAATCATTTGATTGGATGAATATTCTCATCCTCCCTTTCCAATAAGCATAATTTGTGTTGTCGAAGAGTGGTGGCCTTGTCATGGATTGTCCTTCGGCAACTCCGGGTTGAAATGTTCTTCCGGCCATGATCTTTTTAAATTTTCAGCGGTAAAGCTTTGAAAATCCCTTGCTCCGATACCACTTGTTAAACGTTCTTCACGAATATTCAATAAAAATAATGCACCACAAACAAAATAAAGTGAAGGATAAGAGCAATGCACACACGATATATACTGGTTCGACGTAAATGCCTACATCCAGTCCCCGAAGCAATCGTGCCCAGGCCTTCACTAACCCGTCAAACTTAACGGAGTTTGACAATCCGAATACAACTCGAGAACTTGATTTCACAAGCCTCTTATCTTACCACCAAAGTTTTGATTTCACAAAACTCAGGATTTCTTCCACCTAACGTTTGATTTCACAAACCGTTAGGATTTCTACCACTTAGTGTAATCCCAACACCAAGAATAC